AAGGAGTGCCAGGCTCATTGTACACACACAGTACATTTTTGGCAAAGGAATGAATGAAAGAATAGCATGAAGTTGGCTGCATTCCTTCACAGCCTTCCCTGTAATCTGTGGTGATTTGTTGTGGTTGTGGTTGTTAGATTGTTGCATGTCCTGAAGTGCTGCCTCCGAAGATGGTGCCACCAGGAGCTGTGCAGGAATCCTTCAGCAAGCAGATCCTATCCATGGACACCCAGCCCAGACAAGAGCCACAGCAACCTCATCTTCTGGAAGAAAATGGTGAGCATCTCCCCTGCCCACATCGTCAGGAGGTATCTGTAACAGACAGGCTTTAGATTTGGGGCAGCCTCTCTGCAACCAGCAGGATGTGGAGGTTGAGAAGGGCTAGGGATCTGGAGTGACGTCACTGGGGTTAAGAGAGAGGTCGGCTTAGGGGCCAGCGAGGAACTGTACCACAGCTTTGCTAAAAGGTCTACAAAAGTCTTTACAAAATATGACAATTATTTTGCAACATTTCTTCCAACTTTACTGCATAGATTTTGTTGTCTTGATGCTTATGTAAAAGAAAAAAAAAAAAAACAAAAAACCCAGCCTTCCAGTTCCTAATTGCATTCACTTCTGGCTGGTCAGTTACCAACCGACCAACCAACTCGCTGCCGTCGAGTTGATTTCAACTCATAGCGACCCTTCCTTGGGTTTCTGAGGCGATATCATTATGGAAGTAGATTGCCCAACTTTCCTTCTGAGGAGCGGCTGGTGGGTTTGAATCACCAGCCTTCTGGTTAGCAGTCAAGTGCCTTAGGAACTATGCCACCAGAGCTCCCGGCTGGTCAGTTATTCACCCTGAAATCTTATTTGAAGCAGTGCTTCTCAATGGTGTTTAGAGCATTTACTTTCTTTCTTTTTCTTTTTCTTTTTCTTTTTCTTATAAAACTTTATTAACCTGTATTAGATACATCAAAGAAGAAAGGTGAGTATCATATTTATTGTGATACTATGGCCACAGGTTTGAAATCCCTAATCAGAAACCTTTGGTGTTAGAGATATGTTAGATCTCAGAAATTTTTAAGTTTAGTAAGGTAATGTAATTTGAGTTCCACCCCATAATCACACATATTAATTTTTCTCTAGTGAAATATATGCATATTTACAGTAAGTGGGTTAAGTAAAGACCTTAACTAGCTTCACATCCATTCAGGTCAGGTTTTGCTCTCAAGTTAATTCAGTGCCAAACCTATTCTTCAAAAAACCCTTTGGTATTTAGAGCATTTGGATTCCCAAGTACAAGCTTTTGGACCTACAGTTGCTCTTTGGTCCCAGACTTCCTGTAGACTCCAGTTGTCACATCCCTTGTCATACACTCTGCCCAAGCCTTTTCCAACTTCCTTTTACTAATAACCATAATAGAAGCCCCAGGAGTGAGTACTGTTTATGTAGCACTTCCTGTGTGTCAGGGAACTGTTCCGGTGCTTTTCCTGTGTAACTGTTGTTAAGTGCCACTGAGTTGATTGCATCTCCTCGTGACCCTGTGTGCAACGGAACAAAACCCAGCCTGGGCCTGCGCTGTCCCCCCGTTGCTGCATCTGAACCCATGGTTGCACCGACCATGCCAGTCCATCTCAGGCCGGATCTTCCTCTTTTTCGCTGACCCTCTGCTTTCCCAAGCATCATGATCAGTCTCCAAGGGCTGATCCCTCCTAATAACATGTCCAAAGTACGAGAGGCAAAATCTTGCCATCCTCTGGGCTCCCTTCCAAGGATCATTCTGGCTGTACTTCTTCCGAGCCTGATTTGTTTATGTGTGTTGGCAGTCCATCCTATCTTCAGTATTCTTTGCCAACCCTATAATTCAAAGACATCAATTCTTCTTTGGTTTTCCTTACTCACTGTCCAGTTTTTGCATGCATATGAGGCAATGGAAAATGCCATGGCTTGCGTCAGGTGCATCTTAGTCCTCAATTTGCTTTTTAATACTTTAAAGAGATCTTTTGCAGCAGATTTGCACAATACACTGTTTAATTTCTTGACTTCTGCTTCCAGAAGTGTTGATTGTGGATCCAAGTGAAATGAAACCCTGACAACTTCAATATTTTCTCCATTTATCATGATGTTGCTTACTGGTCCAGTTGTGAGGATTTTTATTTCTTTATGTTGAGGTATAATCCATACTGAAGCCTGTAGTCTTTCATCATCAGTAAGTACTTCAGGTCCCTTTCAGTTCCAGCGAGCAAGGTTGTGTCATTTGCATATTACAGGTTGTTATTGACGCTTTCTCTAGTCTTAATGCTGTATTCTACATGTAGTTCAGCTTCTGGGATTATTTGTTCAACCTACAGATTCAATAGGAGCTCTAGTAGCATAGTGCCTAAGGCACTTGACTGCTAACCAGAAGGCTGGTGGTTCAAACCCACCAGCCACTCCTTGGAAGGAAAGTTGGGCAATCTACTTCCACAGTGATACCACCTTGGAAACCCAAGGAGGGGTCACTATGAGTCGAGTCTGACTCGATGGCACATAACAACAGCAACAACAGAGTCAATAAATACGGTGAAAGGGTACAGCCCTGATGCACACCTTTCCTGATTTTGAACCAAAAACATTTATAGTAGTACATTGACCGAGAACTACTAGAAATTCAATCTGAATTCAGAAGGGGAAGTGGAATGAGGGATGGCATTTCTGATGTCAAATAGATCTTGGCTGAAAGCACAGAACAGCAAACAAATACTTACCTGTGTTTTATTGACAATAGAAAGGCATTCAACTGTGTAGATCATAACAAATTATGGTTAACGTATTAGGGAAGAATAGGGATTCCAGAACACTTCATTGTGCTTGTGTGGAACCTGTACACAGACCAGGAGGCAGTCATTTGAACAGAACAAGGGGATACTGTATGGTTTAAAATCAGGAAAGGTGACCCTGGAAAAATAATCCTCGCCATTTACCATCTGTGTCCAATGGATCCTCTCTTTATTTGTAAGACTCAAAGGGTAGTGGTGAAATTTTTATAAGAATTAAACCAATTTGAATCAAGGTTATCTTGGTGCATAAATACCACAGAATATTAAAGAATAATGTCACATATCCTTATAGCCAAATGGGATGGTTCAAGATCTTGTCACAAAATATCACATGATGAAGTGCTGCCTGTTGAATGACTGAGTGGAGGAGAATGCCATATTGCCTTCTTCAGCTTAAAAATAGATCAGTCATTATTGATTCTTGAGTTTGAGAAAATTCATCTGGGATATTATCATTTGAAGACTCATGTTCTGAGATTTAACTTATACTTTGAGCTTTATCATGATCATTAGATAGGGTGCTCTCCTGTGCCTCTGCAGTCATCATCTGATTCATCTAATCACAGAGAAGTGTCTCCTCTGCCAATTCCCTTCTCTTTGCTGATACCACAGAAAATGAAAAACTCTGGATTCTCCACTGTGTTTAATAGAAGCTAAAAACAGGTGTCAACTATCTTTTATACCTTCCTGAAGGACAATGCAGTACTCTGGGCAAACAGTAAGAATAGTGGTGAATGATGATTTATTTCAGTATTGCATGATCTTCAAATGTTGCCGTTATCCTTCCATTGTCTTATTATTCTGGTCACTTTGGCATAACTGGGAAGAATTAATTAATATGAAATAATTCCTAGGATGATAAAATAGAGAAGTGTTTCAAGGTGTGGGAAAAATAAGATTTCTCAGATCCCAAAATGTGTCTTAGATTTAAAAGGGTCTAGTGGACCCATAGAGAAATGATAAGAGTGAATTGTATTCTATTTTTTTAAAAACAATTCAATACATTTTCTTTTTGCTCAGAAGACTTTTGAAAGAATAAGAGTTATTTTTACTTCTTAAAAATAGTTAAAGCTGCTCAAAAGTAAAAAATAAAATTGTGTTCGATAGAATGTGTTGGTATGCCAAGGTTAATTCTCATAATAACCCAATGAAATAGGTTTTTAAAATTACCCTTATGTTAGAAATTAAAAAGCTGAGGCCTAGAGAGGCTAAGAATGTGTCGACGGTCACAGAGTATTAAGTAACAGAGCTGGGATTTTAACCCAAGGAGCCTGACTCTAAATCTGCACGTCCGTCTCCCTGCAAGTTGTCCTGCCCTTGCTGACCACCGTGCCTCCAAGCACAGCATCCCGTCCCCCTTGAGTGACTGCCATCATTCCTCCACTTTCAGAGACTCACCAGATCAGGCTACTCTTTTTCTGTTTACTCAGTCCCACTTATCTTCTCTGCCCTGTTAGCCAGACCCTCGCCAGTTTCTTTATTCCAACACAATTACTGTTTTCTTAGGCATAAACTATTTTCATTTCTTTCTTGAAGTCCTGCTTCGAGTCTTTAGCCAGTCCTGGTTTCAGATCCCATCTCTGTTTTTGGCTTTCATTTCATTATCGCCATACTGTGTCATTGCACTTTATTTCCTAGTCGTTGGAAAACCAAGCTCCATATGCACATACCTCTCCAGGACTGGGAAAGGTCTAAAATCATGGGGTTGAAGGTTAATGTCAGGTAGGTCTGTCCAAGTCAAGGCATGCATAGACAAAGATACTGGAATGCACCGTGAATCTTAGACAAGGACAAGCGGAGGTGACATCAGAGGGCCTTATGGTCATCAGCGTCTAGAGATCAGAACCTCCAGGGACACGCTCTTCCTTTCTCATCTTCCTTCCATCCCGTCCTTCCTCAAGCATCCTCATCTTCCTTCCATCCCGTCTCTACTTCCCAGACTCACTGTCTCTGGAAAGACTTTGCAGACAACTTCTTTACCCTCTCCCGCTGTCTACTACGTAGGTGTTCCTGCCTCTCTGTTCCGGGTAAAACCTGAGTGATCTTCAATGACTGTACCCTTTATACTAGGTTGTAAGTACGTAAGGTATACTCAGCTGCCGTTTTCATTAAACACTAAAAATGTTGAGGGCAAGAATGGCCTCTTCCTATAACCCACAGAGTAGACTGTGAAATTCTTCTTGACTGACTATAAACCAACCCCAGTAATTCCTTGAAAGGAGAGAATGTGGACTAAGGCCTTGCTAATCAGAGTATAGAGGGCAGCAGTGGTTCACTGGTGGAATCCTTGCTTCCATGGGAGAGACGTGGGTTTGATTCCTGACCAGGGTACCTCAAGAGAAGCCACCACCCGTCTGTCAGTGAAAGCTTGTGTGTTGCTGTGATCCTGAACAGGTTTCAGCAGAGCTTCCAGACTCAGACAAACTAGGAGGAAAGGCCTGGTGAGCTCCTTCCGAAGAGCAGCCGTGAGAACCCTAGGGATCACAACCGTTCGCTGTGCCTGGGAGTCTCCATGGGTGGGAGTCCTGCTCAAAGGCAACCGACCACAGGAACAATCAGAAGTATGGTTCAAGGGACAGCAGGATGGGCATCACCTGGGAGCTCATGAGAAATGCAGACTATTGGGCCCCATCCAGAGCGACTGAATCAAACTCTGCGGTGTAACAGGATCCCTGGTGGTGGTTTGCACGTTCAAGCTAGAGAAGCTGGGCTGTAGGGAGTGTTTTGGCTTCACTGCAAAGGTGGCACTCGGGTTGTTCTTTGAGAAGACTGGATTTCATCTTGGGAGAGCAGAGAGGGTCTTATGTTGGGGAATAGCACAACCTAAGGCTTCACAGGGATTAGCCCACCAAAGCAGTGAATCTGGCTTTTCTGTTTGGTTGGCGGGGGCAGCAATAATAGGCAGCTATGGGAGGGTCCAGAACAGAGAGGGCCTTCACACCAAGCACAAGAATTTGGCTTTGATGCAGTAACAGGCCACTGGAGTTTTTTTTTTTTTTTTTTTTTAACATTGTGATTTGGGTAAAGCTTTAAAGAGCAAATCGGTTCTCTGTTCAACATTTCCTATACTTTTTGTTTCCAGTCCTTGATTGCAACCCCACAGTGTAACGACACTCATCCCACCTCTTCCCTGTGTTTCCCACCACTGTAGATCCTGAAGCAAATGAGGAACATGATGGCAATAAGAACTGGGCAAAGATGTTCTTTCTTAAACATCTTTTTCTCCTCCTTCAGCCCTTCCTCTTCTTCAAGTTCCTCCCCTTTCCTTGAAGGACAGCCTTAGAGACCAGGAGCTGACAACTTCACTTCTCTCAGCTGGGTCCCAGGTGAGCTGGCGTCCCTTTGCCTCCAATGAGGGTCCATATCTATCCTCTGACAATAACCTGCCTTAGTCCCGGATCTTATCAGAAGTTCTCAGTTTCTTTAAGTAGAGACCAGGCCTTTGTTGGGTTGACACTTAATAACTTTGTTTTTTCCTTTCTACCCGGTGCCTCCTGATCCTCTTTGAGACATAGTCCTGCCCCCTATTTTTTTATTTTTTTACTTAATGCTCCCAATTCTTCCTCTCACTCTAAATTTGAACACAGGGAATGGGAATTTAGTAGAGATCTCATGTTTCAGAAGTTGGTGAAAATTGAAGATGTGGCTGATATGGCTGTTTCCTTCATCCTGGAGGAATGGGGACATTTGGACCAGTCCCAGAAGAACCTTTATAGGGAGGACAGGAAGGAAAATTATGGGAATATTACTTCCATTGGTAAGAATTATTTTATCTGCATGAGCTAGGACATCTTAATTTTGTTATTCCATAAAGAACACTTCCAATACATCATATAAAACCATGTATGTTTTCATTGCTATGACTTGACCTATATTCTTTTCTGTGAAACAATAAATGAATCCTTTTTTTTTTTTTTTTAACTGCTTCAATTTATTCTGATTACTTCCATCATAATACCAATGTTTGTGATTGACACTAATATACCTGAGGGGTGTTGTTGTTGTTGTTATGTGCCGTCGAGTCGGACTCGACTCATAGCGACCCCTCCTTGGTTTCCAAGGCAGTATCACTACAGAAGTAGATTGCCCAACCTCCCTTCTGAGGAGTGGCTGGTGGGTTTGAACCTCCAGCCTTCTGGTTAGCAATCCAGTACCTTAGGCACTACACTACCAGAGAGTAGTAGTTACAATTCAGCAAATACTATCTTTTTACTACTTAAAAGTAAAAGAGAGCTTAAAACTAACTGGTTTCTTTTTTTGGTTTGATTTTCAACAAATTTTTAGTGGTTTTTGTACTCCAGTCTTGACAAATTGGATAATTTTTACTGAGTAATCCTGCTTTATGAAGACATCCCAGACTTTACAGAACAACCATTTATTGTAATAGTTACTATGGTATCTCAGTGGCATCACCTGGGAGTTTATTAGAAAATGTCACTGTCCTTCACCTGTTACAATGTTTGCCTTGACTGCTGCATTTCACGTATCTTATTGCTTCTTGAATTCTATGCTGCAGCTGAAGTTTTGAGCCTATTTCTAAGTTACGATCCTGCAAACGGCTCTTTGATTGTGTTGCCTGGAACAGTGATCAAAATCTCAGGACTGTAGCAAACATTTTAGAGCTTATGGCTTTCAGCTTCTGTTAAATTGAATTCTTTTAGAAGAACCACTATATATCACATACACCAATAGACTTTCGATGGGATACGTACATAATGGCCAAATAATCTTTTGAAGAGCATATGCCAGGAAGTGGGAAGAGAGCTGTTGCCTTGTAGGGAATTGTAATCAATGTCATGAAACAAAATATGTATGAAAATGAATTTACTCTGTAAACTTCCACCCAAATCACAATAAAAATTAAAAAAAAAAATTAAAATTGAAAAAAAAGCACAATTTAAAAAATAGTAATGTACAATAAACTTTCAATATTGTTAACAAAAAGAAAAAAAAAAAGCATATGCCAATTCAAGTTGCCTGAGTGTATTAGTTCACAGGCTTTTATTTAAAAGATATACAGCTGACTTTTGCTTTTTAAAATTTGTCATGTCTTTTATTACTACGGATACTTACTTGGATTTCCTTTTCTTTCATTTATTTGTGCATGCCCTTTGCTCACTTATCTATTGGGATCTTGGTGGTCTTTTATCTCAAGGAGTTATTTATACAGTGTAAATATTGTCATTTAGTGCAAATATTTCTTCTTTTTAAACTAACTTCACAAAGCTCTCATGTCTCATTTGAGTCTGTTAGTTGTGCTTTTACAATTTCTATCATGGGTTTCAGAGTCGGAGGTTCTTGGCACAGTTCTTTTCTCTACCCTTCTCCAAGCAGTTGTAAGTTCTTCCTTTCCATCCGTTACAGAATCGTCACAGCTTCAATATGCTCTTCTCCACTGAGAGCATGATCAGGGGCTACTGCCTCCTCTCAACCCCCTGGGAAGGGCACATTCGATTATTTTCATGCCTTGTAGATTCCTAACAACATCACAGAAGGTCAGGATTAAAAAGTACCCATCAGACTTAGGAACGAGATTTTTAAAAATAAGCCCATGAATTCCAGCAAAAGCAGTTTCCATGGTGTAGTTGGGGCGTTGGGGAGCAGAGATAGTTTTTTTTTTTTTTAACCTGCGTGGAAGTGGAATTTGAGAAAGCCATTGTAAACTTGCAAAAGCTATGATAAACTTTCAACCAAGTTTGTGAAGAAGGACGACAGAGGGCTGGTCGCTGAGAGTGCGTAGGTTAGATGGGTGGTTATTTTTATATGTCCTTTGGTTTTGACGAGAGAACCTTAAGTATATTTAAATACTTAGAAGAAATAATATAGAAGGAGTTTGAAACATTGGGGAAGGGAAGAGTGGGTAATTGATGTAGGGAGGTCCCTGGAAAACAGAAAGGACGTGATGGATCTAAGGAACAAGAAGGATTGACCTTAGATGGGAAGAGAGACATTGCTTCTGTTGGGAGACCAAGGCAAGATAGACGAATAAGGGTGCCATTGGGTTTATAGATGGTTGTGGGTCATTCTAGGAGTTTTTGTCATTCTAGGATGGCTTTGGCTTTCCCTGAAATAGGACACAGAGTTACCTGTTGAGAGCAAGTAGGTGATGAAGCAGGTGAGGAGTGGAAGTTTGAATGCGTGGAGAACTTTGGTTTTTCAAAGGTTGAATATGCACGTAGTAAAACATATTCAAATAGTACAAATGGGTGTAAAGTGGAAGGTAAGTCACTGACCCCTGATCCTCAGTCTCCTAGTTTTCCTTCACAGTGGCAATAACTGTTACCAGTTTCTTGATTGTATTTCTAGACATGTTCTGTGTGTATACATGTGCTTCCAAAAATGATAGTGTACCATGTGCACTATCCTATGTCTTTTTAATGCACTGATACGTCTTGGAGATCGTGACAGACATATTTTGATACAGTTGCTAAGAAAAATGAGTGGGAAAAGGAACCAACTTTAGAAACATAGAATTGCCAGACAGGGCACCAGTGAAGTTGAAGGTCCTGTGTTTATAAAGCGCCTGATTGGCCTGATTGTGTGTTTTGTTCCCACCAGTGTGTTACTCTGCAGCTCAGGTGTAGCAGTGGGCAAGGAGGACAGACAGGGAAATGAGAGTTAATAACATTTCTCACGTCCACTGTGAAGAAGCAGGGAAGGAGAAAGAAGCACAGCTGAAAAGGCGGCATAACTTACAATGCCTTCTCTCTAAAAGGGCAACTGCTAAGAATCCCAAAGAGGTGCACTGGATTCATTTGATTTCTTTCAAATTCACCCCCTAGGAAAAGAAAGCCACGTGCTTGCTTAATGGGAGAGAATTCAAGTAAGAATAATAACTCACTGCCATCGAGTCGGATCCGAGTCATAGCAGTGCCTCCTTGGGTTTCTGAGGCAGTATCCCTACGGAAGTAGATTGCCCAGTCTTCCTTCCGAGGAGTGGCT